AAAAGACACTGTGGCAGTACACAGGGTTGTCAAAGTAGCAGAGAGCCTTCCATATTGATTAGTTCCATGTTTAATGTATACAATACTCTTGCAGTGTTTGCAAATAACCTTTTTTGTATGAAAACAGCAATGGCTTAGTCAAAGCCAGATCAAAGAGGCACGCATGATTCACATCCACTAAATAAACACTGATGCCTGATGGCAGTAATACAGCTATTTATATTCATTGCTTGATTTAACCAGTGGCATTCCTTTAATATGATAATAAGCACAGGCTGTTTGCTATGAAAAAAAGAGACTTGAGTGCTAAACTTGCTCTTAACACCAAATGAAAGTGATATTGGTGGGCAAGTTGAGATGTGCTAATTAACTTCCACTACAGACGAAATCAGAAGTTTAATTTCATATGAACAAATAAGCAGGCAACTTCAGTGGGAGTTAAGCACTTGAATACATTGGATGGTCTGGTAGCCAGGTCCCATCAGTGACCTCTGTGTTTCATTGGAATTGCAATCCTGCAAATCTATCACTTCATCTCCTTTGTAGTACCTGGTGTTGCAAAAATGAAGGCAGAGCGCTCTTTTAAATAGCGTTATCATGAGTGACTACAGCCCTAACACCTCAAAAACCAGCACTAAACTGGTCTGCAACCAGCAAGTAGCTCTCAAGAGTAACAAGTATCAGGAAAGGGAACCTGAGCTGGCCTTGAGCCACAGATGCCACAGATGCAGGAGGACCTCCACTCAGCAGAAGGGCCTTCCAGACCCTGCTGTTCCACAGCCACTGCTGGTTACCGTCATTTTGCAGGCAATCTTCTGCCTGTGTTAGTCAGCCATATTACTTACAAAAGAAGAAAGAATGTATCAGTATGAAAATACTTCACAATGCACAAAAAAATCTGGAAACACATGCTGCAAAAACTGTCTTTGTATTCTTTCCCTGTTCTTATACTTGCCCCTTGGCATAACTCTCAGGTCACTGCTGGGAACAGAATACTGTGTTAGAAGGACCTTTGACGTTGCCCACCATGGCTTTCCCTCCACCTCTTATGGTATTCATGTGGCACAATCGTGACTACTGTAAAAGCAGTTTCAGTTTTATTCAAAATCACCTATGTTGTAAGAGTATGCCTTCTTCACCCTGTTTATAGTAATAACTATCTGATTTGCAGTGGTCAGCTGTGTCCTTAAGCAACATGAAAATGGTGGTGAAATCATTAAAACCACATGAACAATGAGGCAGTATCAGAGGAATCACAGGATCCTTTGAATTTGACCACAGGAATGATAAATACAGCAGGTTCTAGTACACAACCAACAATGAAAAAAGTCCCAGAAAGCAAAATCTGATGGTCATTTCTCCCAGGATGGTATGCAATTATTTTGAGAAAGTCCAGAGCTCTATGGATCTCTCTCTCACTCATAGGGAACTAACCCAAGGTGAACAGAGTGGACAGACTATCTAAATCTACTGTCATTATCACAGGAATAAATGGGGTAAAATTAAAAGAAAAAAAACCCACAAAACTCCACACTTCTATGTGGACAAGGCTTCAGACTTTTCTTGAAGAGCATCAGTTTTCCTTGTTTTCTTTCATTATTCCACTTCAATAAGAAGAAAACTTTCTCTCCTATAGATACCTGAAGATTTGTAAACACTTCCATTTGGGTTATAGAAGAATGTTGTAGATTTGTTTTCATCCAGTTGTTTTGGCAGATTTCGTTTTGAAACTGTGACACGTCACAGCAGAGGCACATTAGATTTGAAATCTGTGACTTCTTCCTACACATTCATGTACATTTACCTTTCTCCATAATTTACCATTAGTTGATCTATTGGTAAAACTTATCTGATTTGGATAAAGACTGTTCTTTCATGGCCCCATGTGCCATAAAATAGCAGCAGAATTCTATTTCCTGTATTGCAGATAAGGCTGCTTCAGTTTTAGAGCTGTGCTTTGACTTATTTGCTGATTTGCTTGATAAACAGAACGGCTTAAAGCCTTGAAGGAAGATGAATACACGTTGTGTCAGAATAACACAGGAATAACTGGGCTGCTAGTACTTCAAAGACAGCTTGTACTTCCTTATTAAAAGAGCTGCAAGAGAAGTGAATTCATTATTCCTCCAATAATAAAGAAAGTAGCTATTACTGTCACCAGCAATTTCAAAAGAGATTTCAAATCCTTATGTGTGTCCAACATACTGATAAAAAACAACATTAATTGCAACTTGAAGGAAACACAAATCTCTTAAGAGATTTTTGCTTGGATAATTGAGAGTGCTTGAACTAAGATGCTCCTTATAACTCTCATATCCTCAGCAGCATCTAATGACTCAGACCTGCTTCTTCAGAGGTGGTTTTGACACTATCCCACAACCATAAATATACAGATGTAACCATGCACTTGCAGACCACAAACTTGTCTTGACTCATAACCATATTACCTCTTGCAAAGACACCTTGAAAATACATCTGTTTCTATGGCTTCTGTCACCTGGTTGGCACTAGGGAGACCCTCCGTTGTCTCAGACAACTGCATTCCTCATTCATTGGGAAACCACTATTAGTTTCGGGTACCTACTTTCATTTCCTCCGATCCCTTCCATGAGGGTTAGGATCAATCACAGATTACTTACAGACCTAATGTTGAGCTGGATTGCAAATTAATTTGGAGGTACTTAATGTTTTAAAGAGTTTGGAAAGTAGGTAGTCATATAAATGAATTTTATTTACTTATTCCCCCAGTCTTTGAAGAGATTGCATATTGGTGTTTCTCTACAAACACCTGAAGACTGTTCTCATGGCCTTTATGAAGTTGGTCAAATTGAAAAATATCTGTAGACAGTAAATGCCCTTCAGTGTAACTTTGAAAATACACTATATTCTCCAGGAGTCTAGCTTTTATTTGTCTTCTGTAGTATTTGTGTGTAGTTTTCCAGCTTCTATCTAGTGCTACTTTAAGATAGATGATTATTTTACTGAAAATAGTTTACCCACCTCTTCCAACAAACCTCCGTAAAAGTGATTCTAATTTTGTTAATGTAAACTTGAGCTGCCCCCCTGATATGAGAAGACTCGGGCTGAGTGTTGGCTGAACTCTTTGTTTTGATGGGAATACAGCATTTCTTAGAAGTGGTTGAAAATGCAAAGTTCTCCATGAATATGAGGACTGCTTGGGAGTCTGCAGCGGGTTCTCTGCATCTATGAAGAAGTGTTGCATCACAACTGTTGCCAGCACAGGCCGTTTTCTGTTCTCACAAAAGAAACCTTGAGATCAACTGCCTTAAACTGTTGTGACAAAGACAAAAAGTGGAAGCCCGATTTCACTAGCAACACTCAGCCATACCACCCTAGGTAAGAGAGGAGACCAAGTAACACCTACAGTGACCAGAACATTTAGAGCTAAGCAAAAGTGAACGTTGCAAACGTACTTCTAGAAGAAGAGATGTAACACGCAGAAATGAACAAAAAAGCAATCCATTACAGGCTGCAGCTGTTTGGCGTGCTGGGAAAAAACACTGCCCGCCTACAGGAAGGCAGTCCTAGACTAGACTCACGGATAACAGTTCCTATTGCTTAACTTCTCAGAAGGACTTTGCAAAGACACAGGTATGATTATGCAGTTTACAGCTTAGGAAATTTAGGAATGAGGAAAGTGAGGCAATTAGCCCAAGGCAAATCAATGACAGAGTTGTGAAGACAGCTTCACTACACCCCACTCTTATTCTAACCACTAATCAGCACAGCCTCCAGTCCTAAAGGAAAAGGGTATTTTGGCAGCAACAGCCCAGTACTCCTCCATACAGATGGAGAATACAGAATATGGGTGAGGGCCTTATCTCTGTTCTGGCACTCTTCCATTTGCTAAAAATGTCCTACAAGCCCTTGTTCCTGCCAGGGCAGGTCTCCTTGCTGCAGGCAGCACCAGAGAAAGTCCTAAGGCTCCTTGCTGAGGGCCCTCCCTACCTCTCCAGTTTTGGTTCCCAACAGAAATACAGTCTTCCATGCTCCAACAGGGCTGTCTGGGGGAGAGTCCTGCTGGAACAACAGAGCCAAATCAGGGAAATCATCAGGAAAATGCAGGCTACAATTCTGAATGTATTACCTAAGAGTGACCTCCTGTGTCTGTACCAAGTGTTCTCATCTCTTTATGGAGAACAGCTATCAGAGTATGAAGCTGCAAAAAATATATTCAAAAAATAAAATAAAAAGCAAATTCTAAGGAAAAGAACATTTTTCTTAATGAATTCCCCACACACACAAGTCATAGTGCCTTAAAATTTTATCTGTACTGCACAACATGTTCAACAGTAAACAGGTAAGTAATAAGTTCTAATAATGGCTTCTGCTATAAATTTCTCTTCTGCAATTTTGTAGCACTGTGTGAAGGCAGGAAAAGGTCTATGACAAGCATGAATACTGAGGACTCACTGCACACCTGCATTGGACTGAGAACTCCATTTTTTAACTTGGCTTCAGCTGTTTCTCTGCTGCATTTTACCTCCCTCTGAGATAAAACACAGAAGAGGAATGTTAAGAATTCTTGCAGATGTCACGGGCAAAATAATAACTTAAAAAAACCAACACTGAAATGCCTTGTGTGTGTGCTCCCTCTGGATGGATAATCATCAACACTATGCTACTTTCTAGATCAAAACAGTTTTCTACCTTCAGGCCAGAAATGGGGATCATTTGGATTCTGCTGGCATCCAAATACAGGAGCCAGATGAATGCCCACCTGAAGAGGCCATCCTAGGGCAGGGTGGTGAGTATGTAACTCAGTTATATACTGAGCCTCTCTCCTGTCAAGGCACTGTTACCATAACACCAAGTTCCTATAACAGCAAATTTCCTTGCTGTAAGATACAAGACTTGAGTCTGCTGGACTCAAAATCAAAGAAAAGCACTGGAAAGCTTTGATAACTGAGGGCATATGTTATCTATCAAACAGAACTTGGAACTGGTGCACATTCACAACAGTTATAAACAGCTGCTTCCCAGACAGACTTCTCTGCTTTGACAGTTTTTCCCAGCATGGATTTGAGCCAAAAACACAGTGTTATGCTCTTCAGTAAATTCACACAAGAATGGGGTTATGGTTTAGACATTCCTACCAGTTTCAGAGATTGTTCACGTAGTAAAATTGACCAGGCAGGCAATTCTGTAGACCAGTGGGGACTGACAGCTCCCAGCTCTCCGTTCTAGAGCACAGTTCTGCGTGGTGAGCTGGGGTCAGCACTTTCTCAGATTCCCAGCTCACCATGACAGACATCCAGCTCTTTCACGACTCTCTCTGATTCACCCGAAGCACAGCAAACTAGAAAGTTCTAAACCAAATACTTCCGTTCGTTTCTTGGGAAAACTTTTTGCCCACTCTATCCACAGTCTCCTGTAAGAGCTCTGCTGTTTGTACCTCTGTACTTGTCACCTTCCACTCCAACCCGCATTGGGATGCACAGTGTTAGGACCTAGAAATAATAGGGGGGGGGGGGAAAGGGCTTTTTTATTGCTCTATTCAGCCTGGAAGACAGACCTGAACCTAGCTGGGTTCCTCCGGTGCCACCACAGCTGGATTGTGCCCCAGATATTCCAGGCAGAAACTGCAGTGGGGACAGCGAGGGCTTAGCCTCCCAATACAGGGCTGGTTAACAAAGCAGAGGAACCTGCAAAGCTTGTGAGAGTGGGACCCAGAGGAGTCATGCCAGATAACTTTTTATTTTCTGATTTTCCTTTTTCAATTAAATTTGACATTTTTGAGAGCGAGCTTGGTTACAGACTATTAATCTGTGGCTGAGAGCCAAGGAAGGAAAACACTTCAGTGAGAAGAATTGAACACTGAAAAGCTTTGTCTGCAGTACAGCATGCTAAGATGATTTTAGTGAGTTTTGAGAAACTCAGACAGTGGCACTTTACTCCTATGTAACAGAGACATGTTCACGCAGTGCTTTCAGAAAAGAACATGGCGACATTTTCAAGCCCATTTTCTTCCTTTCTTTTATATTCAAAAGGCATATCAGCTAGTGAAAGTTGAGCACTAATTGATATTTGCCACCAGCTGAGCAAAACTGTCGTGATCAACCTAAAGAGAAAGGCTTGCAACACTTGCAACAGACTGAGAACATCTAACTGGAACTTTGGAAGGAGCCGAATTTCCAATTTGAAGCAAATCAGGTTCGGATGACAGACTCAAAGGATAAACATGAGAAGTGACATGTTTTTCATCTGAAACCTGATTATCTACAGAAGCTAGAAGATATCTGTATTTGAGAACTAGTTCATACCTGATTCTTTGAGGTATAAAGCTAAAAAATCAAAGCAAACAAAAAATTTTATTATGACGTGAAACTACCACTTAGTACTATGGCATACTTCAGAAGCTATGGTTTTGACACTGAATCCCTAGGGTCCTTATTCAGTTGTTACTCAGGAAAATAAAATTCCATTTCAGCAATGGAATAAAGCAAAACTTCGAGTTGCAAGTTCTGGAAAGATCCAAGATCTGTATTTGAACATTATGTCTTGGATACATCCCTTAAAACAAATAAACGAAAGGAAACTAAAACCACATGTGGTGGAAGTTAAACAGGCACCTGTAATCTCAGAATGAACAAGTGTCAAATGAATGTTTCCTCTGGAAATTTTGGGAGTGTTTTTTCTATCATGTGTCTCTTGCATGCAGGAAGGAGCCCAGATTTCCAGTTAAATAGGAAATGGAAAGTGTTCAGCACCAGATGGAGGGGATCTTTGCGGAAAATTTTCATTGCGTGTTAAGGCTTTGATCACAACCAGGCAGTAATGGAATACAAATTGCTATTAAAACAACTTATCAGTGTGAGAACTGCAGAGCAAAATGAAGGCAAAAAACTGACCTCACTGGTAAAGATTATAATCCCCCATCAATGCCAGTCCATTAATGATAGTCGTTGTTACAGCTTTTGATTACAGTGTCTTAACCCTTTAGCTTAAGCTCATTCTCACTGGAAGTCATTCATGTGCCAGTGAGGAAGGGCTGAAGGAGTCCTTTTATATCACTGAGCCCATTTGTAGAAAGCTTCTGCTTAATTACTGCTCAGTGAATCATGGTTACATATATTAAGATAATTACAAGTGGTTTGTTAAACAAAACAAGAAATAGGGCTTTTTTTTTTTAAGCATTTAACCACTGATGAAAGCTCTAAAATCAGAAGTCCACCAAGCTTGTTTCCCCTATACCTAATTTCTGTCCCTGTCTGTCCTGCATTTTTGGCAAGCAAAAAGAAACCTTGCTGTGAAAGTCACTCTTGTTTCTGTGCAAGACTCATAAGCACGAGCTCATAACGCATTGCAAATATGATCAAAGAGTACAGATGTAGGAGATAAAAACCAAAGGGGAAATTATACCCAGATGATGTATTCAAGCACTGCCATTGAAGAAAACCTCCTGAACTTTAATGCGTTACAGAAGTGAAAGTGCTGTCAGTGCAATGGGGCTGTTGACTGTGTAAAGTTCCACTCACCTGAAGACCTCTTCCTTAAAGCAGGTGCATTTAACTGCTCTGAGAATAATTACTAAACCGTTTTAAAGAGCAGTCTCATCTACAAAGAGAATTATAGCGGTGCAGTTGCAAGGCAACAGGCTCCCAATCCACGCTGTTCACCAGTCGGGTATTTTCGCATGTGTTCTAGATTCAGCTTTACAACAGTGAGTGAAGGGGAAGCAGGGTGAGCCTCATCTCACATAAGGCAAATGAGGGCATGGAGATTCTGAAACGAATCTCATGATTTTTGTGCCCAAGTAGACATCCTGGCAGCAATGCTTTCCATAGAGCTTACCGTCATACAGGACTTCACCTGTTCAGAAAGCACTGGTCCCAGTTGTAAATGTCAGCACACCTACACTGGGGACTTCACCTGTTCAGAAAGCACTGGTCCCAGTGTCTTGAGATACAGTTGTAAATGTCAGCACACCTACACTGCGGCAAAAGCCTTACAGAAGGTACAAAGAAAATTAGGAAAAGAGAGAGAGTGGTCACTTATGGAAAGTTTTGTCCATGGCACTTTCCATGACATCATATGGATCTCTGTGGCGGCAGCAGCAGGAAGAAAAGACTCACTTCAGAACATCCACAAGTTATCTTAACCATGAAACTACACTGTATCTCTTCAAGGCAACTCTGCATCCCAACGCCCAGTTTGGTACAAAGTCCCAGTTCACCTACAGAGCAAGTCCACTCTGTACAGTACGTGAGCAGGGTTTCACAACAGAAAGAAAAAGAAGGTATGGACCATGTACTTAAAGACTAAGCCATATGCATATACAGAAGAGGAACAATTTCAATCCTATAGACAACCTGATTTCAGACTTTTCTAACTTCTGATTCTATAATCCTTTTTTGAGCTTTCCTACACAGTCAGGAAGCTGAAGGAGAAAGGAACATGACAAGCACATAAGAAGATTGTGTAGGTGTAGCAATTTGAAGATTCAGAATGCTACAGTAGTCCAGAAAGACACACACACAGAGTCAGAATTACTCTGAAGTTTGTAATTTTAGGTAAAATTTTGCCCAAATATTATATTTAGCTGCATGCAGGGAGAGTGGTTAAAGCCTTAAAGAGGAATCAACAGCTGCAGTGACTAATCATCAGTTATAGATTAGATCATTTTCAGGATGTGAAGAGAACACTGTCTGCACTCTTCAAAGCAGAACGATCTGACTTAGATTACCACAACCCTCCCATGGATGACTTCCCCGCGTGCTTATCTGGGCTGATACAAATGTCACCGCCGTTTCACCTCTCTCCCTTGGGTAGCAGCCATTGCCAGGCTCCCCATCCCGACCTGCTGCCATATAAAGTAGACAACAGAAGTCATGATCAGGACAGGCCTGGGAGAAGGAAAAGCGCAAACTAACGGAGGGGAGAAGGGGAGTGGAGCTGAGCTGAGAAGGACCAGCACTGCTCTGCTGTGTCAGGGAGAAGGAGAGGGACCCAATTTTGAAGGTAGGAAGAGATTTTTTGGCAGCTTGGGCAGCATTTGCAGTACCAGCTGCGAGTATTTCGTGGGCTGGATTTCATGGGGACATTGCACTGAAAAAGCCACTGAAAAAGACACTACAATAAATGTGCTTAGATGGAGGGCTTTTTCATTAAAAGCTGTGTGAAACAGCAAAGGCCTTTGCTTGCTTGCTTTTTTCTTTAATTGAAAAGTTTCTCACCTTGTTCTAATTCCCAACAGGTTTTCATTGCATTCATAGGACAATCAGAGGCTCCTTCCTCTGGCTATGTTTAATACCTATAAATTCCCATCAAAATCTTTGCAGAAGATTAACAAAAAAAAAAATATAATCTGCTTTGTATTATTAAGTAATCCTGCAAGAATTGTATTTTTTTTTTATGACAAATTATTCATATTTTTTCTTTCGGTGTCAAATGAACTGGTACATTTTCAGCACCTAATTCAATGTCACAGTTGTAACTCAAAGCCAAGCAAGATAAAGAGTATTAAGAAAAGAAGAGGAAGCAAAAGAATTCTCATTCTCTTCACTTTTTTCTTGAAAGATCAAAAACTATAATAAGATAGGCTTGAATTTCATGAAATTTGGGATCTGTATAAGCTAGGGAAATCATTTTGTTTGAACTTTACAGCTCTTCTGTTCAGTTTTAGAATACCATACTTTTAAGTCCCTTTACAACATTAAATAACAGGCTCCTGTAATTGGAGCTTGTGTCTCACTGATATTTCCATGACATCATGTCCAAATCCTGATTATATTTCATTTAAATTATTAGTAGCTTTTACCACAGATCAGAGTCTTTGCATGTGAGTTTCTGAACCTAGATGAGTCGTATTGACACATCACTCTGAGCTCGGGAAAATACACCAAGTTCTGATGGCTAAACTACAGAAGTCACCTTTTAGGATTGACCTGGCCCAATTTTACTTTATGTTTCAAATACACAGTACCTGTCTGAATGCTGTGTTCGAATAGGTGTGCCTAGGAAGACCAGGCAAGCAGGAAGAAGGCCTTTGTGAAAACTTATGCGCCACACCAACACACGTATCAAAACCACATTTCAGCACATTAATCAAGAGAAACCTTCCCCCGATTGTTCCCGAGCTCTTTGGGCAGGGACTGCTTCTTTTTCCTCCTGTGTCTTCACACGTCCTCCCATATTGTGCCAAGCGCTCTTAAGCAACAGACATAATAAACAAAGACCATAGCCTCAAAAGTAACTTGCTGTTAATTATGAGGCTTGGATATGGGTGCAAATAAGACAATTTCCTGCTCAGTTCCAATTAGCTTCTCATCCTGGGAAAACTCCACCATTTCATAAAGTCTTCAAAGTCCCAAGCTGGAGCAAAATGGATCAAGGCCAATTAAAATCTTTTGTACCCAAACTTGATCAGGTAGCCCTAGGACTGACCTGTCTGTCTGCCTCCTGTTCTCTCCATCCCACAGTGACTAGTCCACCACTCCTGCCCTTTATTTTTCTCCTTTTCTTAGCTGGTTTTATATTAAAATTCAGGATTCAGCTACCTTGGAAGTTATTTGAACGTATGGTGAACCAGAATATAAATAGTAACAAATCTACCAAGGAAGTCAAGTTGATTAAGAAGAAAAACTTTTTTTTCCCTTACTGTTTAAGAGCTTGAGGATTTGGGGCTACATTTGATACTAGGCAGAAAAAACTCCATTTATTATGCTTTCTTCTTCTCTATCCCTTCAACAAAATGCTGGAGAATGCTCTCAAAATACCTATAAGCCATGCAAAGAATCCTCCAAAAACTCAGGGAAGGGAAGGTAAACCCTCAACAGGTTACCACTTCCAGCATAACATCCAAGCACATAAAACTCAGTAATCTGATGTGGCATCTTTTGAACCAGAAACAAACAACAGCTGCTTTGATGCCATGGTCCTTCTTTTGCCAAGCATTTTAAAAGGTAAAATCCAATAGTTAAAGAAGCCAAAACCTTACGGAAAGAATTTTATTAGCAGTTTTGTTAGAAGTCAAATAGAATCAGGCCATGCATGGACATTCTAAAAGGTAGCAACGTAATGCTCAGGCATATAAACAAAAAGAAAGCATGGGCTGGCACTGAAATCATGGTGGCATAGGATAGAGATTAAAGACAACCACAGTTCAGACCAAAACCCAAGTGCTTTTATGGCGGTTATATATCAAGTGTGATGGAAACACTGAGTGGGGATGTAAAGGAAGAGTGGCTAAAAAGAATAAAAATAGAAGCCAAAAGTACTGTGTTAGAGCAGAAGGAGGCTGCAGACCTCCATGCATTCCAGCTTGCAGAAGGCTGGGTTGCCTCTAAGTCCCCAAAAGAAATGGTTTCTGAAGTTGCAGGTCCACTCTATAGAATTCATTATCAAATCTGCCAGAGAGGTCATACAGCCAGAGGACAGCAAAGGAGGAAGAAACATAATGTGGTTAAATAGAGGATCATTAGACTGACCACAATTATACACAACTTTTTAGAACAAACTTTGATGGAAAGCATAATTAGAGACATGGAAGGAAGTGGAAAGAAGTGCTGCACAGGTTTACTAAAAGTAGAACATGCAAGACCAAACAAGCAAGTAATTATTAAGGTTGAGGAGAGGCAGCTGATTCAATCAACCTGAACACTGGTACAATACTTAATATGATGTGGCATAAGAGAGGAATTGTTAAGTCAGAAACTAGAGGTTAATATAATATTAGAATATAAACTAGAAGAACTAGCTAAAGCAGAGATTACAGGAAAATTAGAAGCCTGGAGATAAAAGATAATTAATAGGCAGTTTCTCAGAACTATGTCTTACAGTAAGTTTGATTCATATTTTCTTTAATGAATCTGGTGCAAAAATGTGATTGCACCATTAAAATTTGTTGTTGTCTCAGAATATAAAGGCATCAATAGAGAGGAAGATCATATTGTTATTGAAAAAGAGTTAAATGACCGTGAAACCTGGAGTGAGACATACGGGATGAAAGTCGTTTGTACCACAGGCAAGGCCATGCATGCGGGTCAAGGGTTCTTGCTATAAATATATCTATTAAGAATAACCAAAGAGGGAGAAAACCTGAGAGAGCTGGATGACGATGAACTACCAATATAATTCAGATGTGAAAGAGTCAGACTGTACACCAGGATTTTGTCACGCAGGATATTTCAAGGAGATGCAAAAAACTATTAAAATTACTTACAAAGCACTAATAAGATCTCCCTGATCCATCCCATGCCCAAAGAACTCCAGATAGAACAGGTGCTATTTATTAGTCTCCCTATCCCCTTATCATTTAATCTGTTGAAAGAAACTTAAGTTATATCTGTACTGCAAGATCTTAAAGCACACTCCATATCCTTAACTTGTGAGCTGTTCCCGGTCACGTCCCAGTTCCACATCAGGACAAGGCCATGTTACACCTTGCTTCCTTCTTTTTCCCTTATGTCCTGGTTTCCGTGGGAAGGCAGTTTAGGTGTCTGGGATAGAAGGAAGTCATGACACACTGCAACAGGTTCCCCAATTTGAACAGGGGAGGGAAACGCACAGCAGATATCCCATGGAGTAGAGTACATATTGCCTAAGAGATATGACTTTTTTTTCCCTTAACAGCTTGATGACTGAGAGGTACGCTGCCTATAAAAACATAGTCAATGAGCAGTGGGAAAAGAGAAAAGTTAAAGGAAAAGGAGCCATCAAAAAAGAAAGTATTAGCACAAGAACAAAAATGCATAAACTAGCCATACATTTCAAAAGGATACTGTGGTGGGTTGACCCTGGGCTGGATGCCAGGTGCCCACCAAAGCCACTCCATCACTCCCCTCCACAGCTGGACAGGGGAGAGAATGTAACGAAAGGCCTCATGGGTTGAGATAAGGACAGGGAGAGATCATTCACCAATTACCATCATGGCCGAAACAGACTTGAGTTGGGGACATTAGTTTCATTTCTTACCAATCAAATCAGGGTAGAATAATGAGAAATAAAAGATAAATCTTAAAACACCTTCCTCCCACCCCTTCCCTTCTTCCCAGGCTCAATTTTGCTCCTGAATTCTCTACCTCCTGCCCCCCGATCTGCACAGGGGTGGACAAGGATTGGGGGTTGAGGTCAGTTCATCACACATTGTCTCTGCTGCTCCTTCCTCCTCAGGGGCAGGACTCCTTACACTCTGCCCCTGCTCCAGCGTGGGGTCCCTCCCACAGGACACAATTCTCCACAGACTTCTTGAATGTGAGTCCTTCCCACGGGTTGCAGTTCTTCATAAACTGCTGTAGTGTGGGTCCCCCACAGAGCCCCAAACCCTGCCAGCAAACCTGCTCCAGCCTGGGCTCCTCTCCCCATGGGTCCACGGGTCCTGCCAGGAGCCTGCTCCAGTGTGGGCTTCCCACGGGGTCACAGCCTCTTTCGGGAACATCCATCTGCTCCGGTGTGGGGTCCTTCCCAGGCTGCAGGCGGAGATCTGCTCCACCGTGGGCCTCTATGGACTGCAGAGGGACAGCCTACTTCACCATGGGCTGCACCAGGGGCTGCAGGGGAATCTGTGCTTCTGGTGCCTGCAGCATTTCCTGCCCTCCTCCTGCACTGGCCAGGGGGTCTGCAGGGCTGCTCCTCTCACAGATTCTCGCTCCTCTCTCCAGCTGCAATTGCTCTTGCACAGCAACTTTTCCCCCTTCTTAACTACGCTATCCCAGAGGTGCTACCACCACTGCTGATGGGCTCAGCCTTGGCCAGCAGTGAGTCTGTCTTGTAGCTGGCTGGCATTGGGTCTGTCGGACACGGGGGAAGCTTCTGGCAGCTTCTCACAGAAGCCAGCGCTGTAGCCCCCCCCACTGCCAAAACCTTGCCATGCAAAACCAGAACACACACATAAGAGAGGGCAGCTAGCATAGAGGATTATCAGTCTAGCCTTGAAAGCAGTAAGGCTGTGGCATAGCCTTCCAGTAGGAATAAAAACTACAAAGAAAAGCTAGATTCAAAGAGAGCTCGATCAGCTGTTGAAGGAATTTGCGTGATCTGGTTTGTGTGGCTGTAGCACTTCCAGTGACTCAGGAGTTCTCATCCAGAACTACATTCCTAATTATAGGGTTTATATTTGTCTAATTTTATCACACTATAAATTCTTTTTAAACAGCACTGGACTTCCAGGAGTAGGTAGTCCATGGGCAGAATGTTTTCTACAGCTCTTACTCTGTAGTGTTGCAGAAGAAATCCTTGCAGTGCAAATGAATTCCTTTCGCCTCTAACGCACAAAAATTATTTCCCATGAAGTATGGAGATCATTCTCTTGATCCTAGAGAAAAGTACATCTGCCACACAGTGGGAAACTATAGAGGGAAGATGGAAATACTGAAAGCAGTTTGGAAAAGAATCAAGGACTCTCTCACTTTAAATTGCCACCTTTGACTTTTAGTAATTTTTTCAAATATTATCCCTGTTCCTTCTTTTACAGCACCTCCAAAACAATCAAGGAACACAATGCAACTATAACAACAGTGCTCAGGAGTCCTTTCAGAAGCTATATTGAATTTTGTCAGCTACAGATTTTGTAGTAAGGAACAGAAAGCCTAGAAAGATAAAATATGGAGTAGGAATGGAGATTTCTGACCCTGCTATGAGAGAGCAGAAGACTATTTTAATAATTCAATGAAGGCTACAATTTTGTGTGTGGTTCATCTTCCACTTTCTTTGAAGAGGATCCCCATAGAGGGCCAGGGGCTTTTTCCACTGCGAGAGATAAGCAAGGCAGACTGCACAACTGCATTTCAAAATAACTGTTTCACTATTCATCTTTGAAGAAGCTGTAAGTTTCCGTAAGATTCAGCCCTGCCAACTTCCCAGGAAACTCCAGACTATTTAAAAGGCTGCTATGGAAATTGTCAATCAGCTTCAAATGTATTGGAAGGGGAAGGTAATGAGAAAATAATAGGTATGTTTTTATAACTTAGCATACTATACATCCCAGCATTATCGACAATGTGCTCCTTTAGAGGAAGAATAAATTGAAAGTAGTGGTAAAACTGTCCATTCACAAATTAATATTTGTCAAACATGCACTCTTATGGAGACCATAACATAGCCTGTGACAATATGAGAAACACTTTGAGATAACTGAAACTTGGTACACTGCTACTTCACTTGAAATCATTCTGCCCTGTGGCAGATGTTTGGATGTCGGGAACTCTTCTGAAATTGCCAAGGGAGGAAGGAAGAGCAGTACTCTTCAGCTTTACAGCAACACGCAAGCATGACATAGTTTCTCAGGGTAAGATTTCTATATGACAAGATGCTCTAGTTTTCATTTCTATGCAAGCGGTCAAGGTAAACTTCATGCTCTATTAATGAATGAAGGAGACCCATTATCTGACTTTCCTCAGCCCTGCTCTTATAACCCTGCTTGAAATGATCTGATCCGTCTCAGGCTGGGCAGCTGTAATGCCTGGTTGGGAACCCTGCATAACTGAGCTATGGACAGTTTGGGGCAGTTCTGTAACAGTTTGCCCTTATTCTAGGGTGAGGGGCACCAATATCACTTCTAGACTTACACCCAATATTTCTTCTGAGTCCAAATTCTCTGCCATTTGGAGAATAGTAGGCAAGAACTTGGGTATAATCTACCCCGGTATATAGTAGTCTGGGGGAGTTTCCATTACTTCTTCTAAGCCAGGAGGCAGCTCAGGGAGATGAGCACATGCAACTGAAGTGAACTTCAGTAATTGCATTGGACACCTGGACTGTTGCTACCTCCTTGCAGAGAGGTGAAGACTTACACACAGGCACACATAACGTTCTTGTCAGAATACACATGAACACAGAGGTGAGGTTTTCCTCATGGAACAGATGCTACAAAATAGCTAAATAGAGAAATCCAATCTCAGGAGAAAAGGAATCTGTAATGCAAGGCTCTTTTTTTGCTGACCATGCTGTTGGGCTGGAAGATATTTGGAGGTAGCTTGCCAATTGCCTAATTCTCTATCTGCCATTCCCCAGCCTTCAGAAAGGACTTGTTATATCAAGTTTTAATATCTCATTCCAAGTTCATTCACCTTGCTTCTTTAATTCCAGTCTCAATATGAATTTAGAGGACTAATTTCTGCTAGAATACACCATAGTTGTTGTCTTAATTACTCATACTATCAATACAAACTTAGACAATCTTTTCCCCTTTGACCACAGTGCCAGGTAAAAGGATCATGGCTAAAGCATTCCTGGCACTTTCTTCTTTCTCAGATGGAATTGCTGTCACCATTCCCACAGGATGGCAAGCAATTGCAAGACGGGATGTGTGCTCCCCAGAATAAGGGCTAACAAGGAACGAAATACGCAAGTAGTAGGTTGTTCTCCCAGTATTTTGGGATGGTTTTCCCACTTAAGGAACTGAAGGAAAAATAAACATGATCAAAATCACTGTGTGAGGAGCAGTTCTGACTGCAAGTGAGAATGAGACGGCCGCAGAGTCATCTCTGTTACGTCAGATTAGATAAAATATGGTCTGATTGCAGCAGATGAGATACACTTCACTCTGGTGATGAGGATCACCCAAGTGTCATTACCTCAATTTAGGGGAAACCCTAAGTCAGACAAGGAGTATTATCTGAAACACGTGAACTAGCCAGGTACTGAGAAGATTGCCTGTCCCACCTCAGTGTGTTGCACAATGGTATTTTGAGTCCTGGGTTCAGCCAGGCCCACCACTTAACATGCTTAACAGGAAGGTCTGTAACTTTTATTGAGCCAAGAGACATACAGAAACTGCTTCTATTGCTGTATCAAAACTACGGGCATAGACAGGGAAAATACCACCCTCCTTACTGTCTCTGCATTGCACTCCTATCACTAGAAGGGGCTTCACTTGATCAAATGCAGCTCTGAGCTGCTTAAGTAAATTCCTCTCATGGCTAATGGAAAACACATAGGTTTCTAGTGTACAGGTCATCCTAAAGTAGATTTTTCAAGTAGAACAAATGAATCGTACCTTAAAAGTGCTTATTCCACCCTGCTGATTATGAGGGGACAAGTTTAGATCCTGTAGATTGAGATGCTGCATATGCCTACAGTGATATGAAGTTACTACAAGAATTAAAATTGGCCCTTTATTTACTCATCCTTCCAGCTGAAATATAAAATTAAACTCCATCTACAAAATTAGACACAGGCTAGGATAATGGAGCACCACACCCAGAAGAACCAATGTTGAGAGCCTATTTTTAAAAAGGTGAAGTGAATCACTTTTTCTTGTGTACTGTTGTGCAGACAGTCAGAAACTCACGTAGGCAGAAGCTCTTTGAGAATGTATGTTGCTTTCAGATACCCTTGATCACAGGTCTCCTCCCCACCTTGTCTACAAAGCTAAGAGCAAGTTCTTTCCACCTTGCCATACAATGGCTGTGAGCAGTGATTGACAATCACCACAAGAGAGGTTTTCAGCAAAAAATCGAGGGCCTGAAAGAATAATGGCAAGCTTTTCTCTCTTTTCTATCCCCTTTTGTGGTCACAGTTACTAGCTCCAGCACTCACTTTCCCCTCTTCCCAGATCACCTCATCTTCTGGAAAAACATCTAGAGTTGTTAGAAGAATTGCTCTTCCCAAGTCTCTCTGCTTTCTACAGGAGAGAGCCGTTCAACAGCAGTAAGAGGCAGCCACCTTTATTTATTTTAACCCAAGGGAAAAATCAACAGGAATAAATGAAGGTCACATCCCTGTGAGTGACTTATCTGTAGCAGTTACAGCAGCTCAAAGCACAGCAAATTTGTAGAGGCGATTTCTCTGTCAGGCAGAGAAGAGCCGTATGGACTGCAGCTCCTGGCCGCCTGCCTGCCTGGCGCCCCAGCTCGGGCAAGTATACTGCACAGAGCGTTTACAGCTTGCTGAAGTCTAAGTCTGTAGAGAACAATTAGACTGCCTAATCTGGCCTCTTGTCCTCCACGCAGCTTAATGTTTCACACATGTACTCGGTACTAAACTCCAAAATCTTAGTCAAACCTAATAATTTTATTCCTCTTTAGCTTAGCTCTTGCGTGCTACAGGTAAAGGGAAAAAAAA